TCACCAAGGGCCTGATATGATGACAGCAGGGAACAGGGTGGGTTTCACTGAGCACTACGGAAAGGGGGAGATCTCAAAACTAGGATGCCATCTCTGATGGCATGGTGGGTTGTGCTTCTCTGAACATCCCATCCACCCCTGGGAAAGTTGTGCAAAAAGAGCCCCCTGAATATACAAGCCAGCCTTCCTTAACCTGGTGCCCTCCAGCTATTTTGGACTACCTGTTGGCTGGGACTGATGGAAGTTGTAGCCTAAATCAGCTTGTGGGTACCAGGCTGATGTAAGCCCCTTGAAAGCCATTGAGTCATCTCATGCATATTCCAAGCACATCACCTGTCCTAGATCAGCAGCGGCTGCCCTATTCTTTGTCCAAATAAGGACTGGGCATAGCCTGAATCAGGGCAGGAGCAAAAAAGCCACCCGACAATCGGATTACAATGCCCTAGCATGAATTACAGCTCCTAATTACCTTCTTAGCTCACCCTCCCTGCATACTTGATGTGACAGCTGATGTTTGAGTCTGCATCTGAGGCCATGTCGGCTCCGTCGCCGGATGAGCCATCCCACCAATGTACTTGTTTCCACTGGAACTGTGTGACACTGGACTCAGCCATCTGCTTGCGCAAGCCGGCAAAGGAGACCCACCAACACAGTGAATGACTGTCACTGGGTTCAGCTCAGGACTAGCTTTGAACAGGGGACAGAGCTTGTACTGGCTGAAGGCTGCACACTGGGTTGTATTCAACTTAAGTTTCATACAGGCTAGACCCATGGGCATCAGTGAACCTAGATTGGTCATGTCCATTCATTTCACTGGGTCTACTCTGAGTATGACTAACAGTGGATACACCCCTAGCTCTATCTACCGAAGTTTGCATGATGAAATACAGGCAGAGGGCATCTGCTTTGCATGCAGAAGGTCTGCGGTTCAATCCTCACTATCTCCAGGTAGATCTGGGAATGCCCCTGGCCTGAAACCATAAAAAACTGCTGCTAGTCAGTGTAGACAATACTGAGTTAAATGGACTAATGGTCTGATGGAGTAGACGAAAGCTTGCTCTGCTCACCACCATGTAACACTATTTTTGCCTCATTCAAGTTGCAGGTTGCACTGATGGGAGCAAGGCAAGTTGCAACATGAGCACTATGCCCCTGACTCCTGAATATTTTACACTCTCTCTCCCATGCACACATCTTCTGAGACTTCACCAGCCACTGTCTCCACTTTCAAGCTTAGCATTGCAGCCATAAGGTCTAGAAATTTATTTCTCGGAAGATGGGAAAAAGGCTCAGTTCTGTGGCCACCTCAACACTCTGTGCTCCTCCCCAGCTCATGGATCCAGCCATTCTGTTGGTGGGCTGTTTATTTTGTGGTCACGTTTTTTTCATTGACCCAGTGGAAAGATTGACCCCATGGAAAGATACCCTCTCATATTTAACTTAAGCCTATGCTTCTTGGCCAATGCAATGTGAACAAGATGCCAAGATGACAACTGAGTGGGCAGGAACTGAGAAGATGAAGAGCCCCATTGCTGGTTCAGATCAAAGGGTGGGCACCTAGTCCAGCATCCTGGCTGCCACTGTGGCCAAGAAGATGCTTCTTGGAAGCATGCAAGCATGACATGAGGGCAATCAGCTTCCCCTGCTGTTGTTCCCCCAGCTACTGGTATTCTGAGGAACTGCAGGGCTGTGATGCTTGTGCAGTTAGTGCTGCCTTTGGGAGGTCAGAAATGGCTAAGCTATTTCATGCTGGTCTGGACTTCTGCCTCAAGCAGGACTTAGGATTTCCTCCTAAGGCACTGCAAGGAGAATGTGGATGGGGAGACTAGACACTAGAACTCATGGACATCCAATGAAGCTGAATATTGGAAGTCCTTCTTCACGCAGTACAGTTAAACTATGAAATTCTCTCCCGCAAGAGGTAGTGATGGCCACCAACTTGGATGGCCTTGAAAGAGCTTTAGACAAACCCACGGAGGATAAGGCTATCAATGGCTACTAGCCACGGTGACTATGTTCTACCTCTGCCACTGGAGACAGTATGCCTTTGAATACCAGCTGATGGGAATTGCAAGTGAACCTCAGGTATGGCTTGCAGGCTTCCCACAAGCATCTGGTTGGCCACTGTGGGAATAGGGTGCTGGCCTAGATAGGTCTCTGGTCTGATCCAGCAGGGCTCAACCCAGGGCCTCCCTCCAACCCAGGCACCCTGGCTACTCAATCAATGGCCTTTGAGAGGCATCCTCCTTGCCTCCCGCCCCAAGTCTTGAATTTGATTTGGGAGAGTGAGGCAAAGCTGGTAATGGCCGTTGGTGTTTTGCTAGGCCCTTTTTGTCGTTGTGAAATCAACTCAAGCTGAGGAATTGGATTCAAAAGTGCCAGCCTACGTTGATTTCCTCTGGCCTCCTTTTGGAAGGTTTTCTGTGGCATGGCAGTTCCAGTCTTGACATGTATTGGAAAATATCATCATGTCTCATCCTGGAAGATAAAACAGCTGGAAGACCCTCAGGTGATCATCTCAAACAGGGATGGGTGACCTCTGGCTTTCCAGATGTTGGTGGACTACATCACCTCGGACCACTGGGTCAGGGGTGCCAACTTGAATGAAATATTGTGGGGGCCCAGGTAAGCCCTGCCCCACATAATTGATTGCATGACACAGTGCACGAACACCATTTGAATGGCAATGCCCATCATTTTTTTGCGGGGCTCCAGCCCCCTCAAATATTTTATACCAGCGGCCGAAGCCCCCATGGCCCCTAGGAGTTGGCTCCTATGCACTGGGCCATGCAGGCTAGAGCTGATGGTAGCTGAAGTCCAGCAACATCTGGCAGACCACAGGCTCCCCACCCCTGGTACAACCCCTTAATATGCACCAATTATTATGTTAGAAAACACAGCCACACCCACACACCCACTCACCCTGAGTACAACCCTTTAACATGTGCCAATTCTTACGTTAGAAAACACATGTACACACTAACACACGTGACAGAATGGTGGGATAGCTGAGCCCCTGTATGGTGGGAAGTCCTGGTTTTGAATCCTTGGTCAAGCATGAAGTTCACCTTAAAGCAGCTCATTGCATCTAAGCCCAATCTACTTCACAGGGTTGAAGAAAATGTGAGCACCTCAAAGCCACTCCTCCAGACCTGGTCTCTGATGTGGTCCTTCCCACATCATCCTGCTCCCCCACTGGGTTGCTGCATTACCAGAGTAGTGTAGGAGAAGTCATGAGGGGTTGTCAACGATGCTGCTCTCACATCATAAGAATCATTGTCATGATACAATATGTCCTCAACCTTCAAAATCCCAAAGTGATGTTTACTGCTCCTCTTCTAGAAAATGCCATCAACCGCTCTTAGCACCCCATAACCGCTCTTAGTAGCTTATTTTCGCTGTTTCTTCTTACTCCTTGCTCTCAGTGGTGAGGGTGAATAATCACGCCATCTATTTTCATGTTGATGCCCTTTTAATTATATATATATGTAAATTAGTCCTGTTACTCTTCCTTTCTCTAAGCCAATGGCTTTCAAAACTGTGTCCCAGGGAACTTGGGTGTGTGTCTGTGTGGATCTGTTGATGAGAAGACCAGGAAAGGTGGATAAGCTTTCCTGAAAGATCTTACCCACCACTATCCTTCGTTCCTTGCAAAGTGGAATTGCGGGAGAAAACTAGGCCTGTTCTAGGGCCTAGTCTAAGTTTACAGTGGGTAAGAGGGAGGCCAAACAGATCTAGCTAATACCCCACATGAACTAAATGTGCAGCTTAGATCACTTCCCAGAATCCTTTGGAATGAGCAAAGGTTCCAAAGCAGGCAAATAAACATGGAGTGTTCCCTGAAGGAAGGAAGCTTTAAAAGCACTGCTTTGAGCCAAACCTAGAATCTAGTTCCTTTATAATCCCCCCTATCGGACAATTTGGCTCCTAGAAGATCCTTTCTCATAGGTGTAGCTCTTCCCTGAATCTGGCTTTCATTATCCTCCTTGAGCTGTAAAACCCATAATTCTATACGAGACGACTCCCTGACATGCTGTGCAGAGTGGAATTATGACTTCCCGAGTCTTGGGAATTGTGCTCCTGCTGATGCAAGAGAATGAGTCATTGGTCATTTGAGTGGTATCACCACAGAAGAGTACAGCCAATGCTATTTTTTAAGAATCCCTCATCAGGAGCGTCAGCTGCCAAGACTCAGGAAGTTATAGATGCACCACTCCTCACGGAACCAGTTCCACCAAATGTTTGTCGACCAGCAGACCCCAAGTTTCTGGGGCTGATGGATATGGTGGTGGCCACCCATCCCTCTAGCTATCTCCCTTGCTTCATCCAACTTGTGTATTGTGTGTATGTGTTGGTGGTGGGGGAGATCTTAGTATGTTTTGTGCGTGTAGGGTGTGGGGACTCAGGCTGCTGACACGGGACGGGACGGGGTCTCCTGAGGAGACGAGAAGGCTCTCGCCATCAGAAACACAGCTGTGGTCTTGGGCAGTTTCTGCCCTTCGGTTATATTTATAGAAGTACATATACATATAATATTTATAATATAAATATTGATGGGCCTCAAATCCGTGGATGCGGAGTGGCGGGGTTGTTGATGGGGGCCCCGAGCCTGCAGGACAGTGAAAAAAGCTCATGGAAAGGGGGCAGGTTAAGGGGTCATGGTGGTGGAAATGCCCACCAATGGGAGCAGGGGGCAAAGGTTATATAAGAAGAGAATCAGAGGAATAGAAGGGGGAAAGGTTCTGGTCTGGATGGACCAGAGGAGAGCAACCGGTGAAGGCTGGCAACCGCCACATCTTGCTATAAGAGCGACGAGCGAAGGAGGCCAGTTTTCACATCTGTCTGGCTTCAGGTCCATGGATTGCAGAAGTTCTTGTTAAAAAATTCAGGGATTGCGATGAGGCCTAGAGTTGCCCTCCCTGGGGAAATGATGGGACACAGATCACAGTGGTGCTGTGTCTTCTGCACGTACAGGATGGTTAGAAAAGCGGCCCCTGCCCTCACAGTCTGGTCTGGGCCTCGGGGATGTAGATCTCAATGCTGTCTGCACTTTCGGTGGCTGAGCTCTGGCGGAAGGAGGCAGCCCTCTTGGCCGCCAGGAGCCTCTTGCGGGCCTCCTGCCTCTGCCGGTCCACAGAGTCCAGGGACCGGTCCTTCACTGGGTGCAGCCGGGAGCGTGGCGGCTTCTTTGGTATTGGCGGAGGCACCTTCTTTTCCTCCTGCAAAAGGACAGAGAGGGAGGGAGAGAGGGAGAGGGAGGGAAGGCGTTAGTGGGAAGGGAAGGACCCATGACAGGCACAGCGCTGGGGTGGCGGCGGCAGCAAAGGTGGAAGGTCCTTCCCTCCCTCGCCGTGGGATATTTACAATGCAGTCATGCCAACAAAGCATGATTGCTAGATAGGCTCATGATGGGAGCTGAAGCTCACAGAGTTTTCCTGTAAGTTTGCTAGAGAGAACTCTGAGAGCTGCTTCCACTGGGCCCTGACATAGAATATCTTCACCTGGCTGGGCATTTTGCTCTTTCACCTCATTCCAGCAATGTAGAACAGGCATAGGCAAACTTGGCCCTCCAGATGTTTTGGGACTACATTTCCCATCATCCCTGACCACTGGTTCTGTTAGTGGTGATGGGAGTTGTAGTCCCAGAACATCTGGAGGGCCGAGTTTGCCTATGCCTGATGTAGAACATACACTGCTCAGACTCCACCTTAAGCTAGACTTTGTAACTGAATTACCATTTTAAGCCTGCCTGAACAAAAGTAGGCTTGTATCTGTTACTCTTCATCAAGTATTCTGAGTGAGTAAATGCTTCTTTTTTTTTTTTTACCTTTTACAAGACTGTTGGTGTGATTATTGTTTTAAGGAGGAGAAAAGGCAGAAGTACCAGGAGAATCCAGTCTGCCTCAAAGCATCCTGGATTACTTAAACTAAAAGGCTAAAAGTAGCTTCCTTTTAAGCTGCAAAGGGATGCAGTCTGCTGAACTCACAAATGAGAGGAAGGAAGGATAATATCTAATAATTATATCCTCTAGCATCTATATATACACATCCCTACATTCGCTTCAGTATAATTCCCAGAGTCTGATAGTTTCAGTTTCTCTAGGCTTCTCTGATTCCTCATTTTTCCAGCTTTAAGTTCAGCTCTCATTTCCAGATCAGGTTGCGAATTTTTTTTCCAAGTTCTCTCCAGGTGTCCTTTATAGTGTGCATTCATGATAGTTTGTGTTTGTGAGGGTATCAAAGACCCTCCAAGGTAGCAGTGATGCGGTAACCCTGTGCGTGCATCGCAGGAAAACCAATAAAGGAGAACGATGTGTGGATGACCCAGCATAAACCCGCCACTCATGAAATATTATTGCATCAATGACACGCTGCAGAAAATGACAGCCCCAAAAAGAGCTCCGGTCTGGAGTGTGTGTGAATGCAAGTATCTGCAGGAAGGGAACAAAAGTGTTAAGAACAACGTTTAAATAAACAAACCGGAAATAGCTTTTTCAGCCCAGGCTGAAGCTGCTTCCTGCCTCTCAATTCAGAGGGAATAAAGAGCTTTGTTGTTCTGCAGTTTTAATTTTAAAAAAGAACAAAAAAAAGAACAAAGGTTCATTAAAAATGCCCAGTTATTTTGCTTCGACCAGCAATGCAGCTCTAGAGCCGCGGGGAGAGAGGAAAACAGCTGTGATGGCTTTATCTGAATCCCTCGCTGGAAATCGCACAGGCCACCTGAGATAAGGCGCAGGGAGGGGTGCAGAACAGCAGTGAGCTCAGGTGAGAGGATGAGCACATCCCTGGCAATGGTGAGCACATCTCCAAGGCGGGCTGTAGAGGCTGGTAAGCCAAGATGGGGTTGGAAAAAAGCCCCGCCCCCACTCCAACCCCTTCACTCTGCACAGGACACACAAAGAGGAGAGTGACATTGGAAGGGCTGCTGTGCCCCATCTCTTCTGGGTTAAAGGGGCAACACAGGGAGTGCACTGGGTAATAAAAAGCATCCCCCCCCCCTTATCACTAATATGCGCATACATATTTGCAAACTTTATCCTAGTATATGCACTTTTGTACACATTACTTAGCTGGACAACTGCATTGCAATACTCTGAGAAGTGTGAATTTCAGAGGGTGGCTGTGTTTCAGTTTGCATATTGTTTCAGAAAGTGTGAATTAGAGAGGTGTGCCTTTAAATGCCAACAGTATTCGATTTCTCCCCCATCCCTAGTCCTAATCCTGGGCAACTTTTTACTGTGGGGAAGCAATCCGGTCCTCCCTCTGAGCCTTCTGAATTCTAGTCAACTTGCTATCAGCCCACATGCACCTACTTGGTGTAGAATTCCATTGGCCTGGGTGCAAGGTTACTTACTCATTTATACTGAACTTCCAGGGGGCAAAGAACCCTGTTACAACATCTGGTTCCCTGGTTGCCTTGCCCCCTTTTCCTCTCACCTTGGGCTCGATGGGTTTCCACCCATTGGCTTTGAGCTGGTGAAGTTCAGCAAACTTCATGCTGACATCCTCAATGGAAAGCTGCAGGAGGTCCCAGAATCCGGCCAGGTCCTGGAAAGTGGGCATGGGGAAAGCATTGGGGTCCTGCCAGGAAGGAGAAGGAAGGAAAGGAAAGAGACTGAGCTGGTGTCAAAGGCTCCCTCCTGTTAGGAGGCGGAGATAAATCTGGATGAGGACAAACAAGAAGGAAGGAATGGGGCAGGCGGTTTTCTGAACTTTGAATGTGGAATTGAGATACAAAGTCACACCTGTTTCCCCCAGGGTGCACTTCACTTTTGCAGCATGAAAGGTTTGCATTTTGAGTAGATAAAAATGGCTTGCACTCTGTTCACCTTATTGGCAGGAGACAAGCCAGAGCAAGAACTCATGCAGAGATGCAACAAGGCAGCATTTTCTGAGAATGGGTAATCCTGTCATGTCTCTTCCATTTGGAAAGGGACCCAGTCCTGCCCAACACACATATATGGTAGAATCATCCACTTTCTGATGAGAAGGAGACAAAGAAAGGGCAGTGTTTCATTCAGAGACATGGCAGACCGTTGTGCCTACAAGAGTGCTTTTAACAAGCCTGTTGATTTATCTCTTGTAGCACACAAGTAGTGAGCTGCTTTTCATGTAACTTCTGATTTTTTGAGGAAGTGCTGTTGGTGCCCCCTCCCCAGCCACTTGCAGTAGATTTACCCTGAGCCCTGAAAAGTACATAGAGCTGGAAGAGGAAGTGGGAAAGATAAGTCACTCTTCCAACTTCCTCCTTCAGCTCTATAGACTTTTCAAGGGAGAAGAAAGATTAATGATGCTCACCACCTCAATGAGGTAAATGAGGGGCAGAGCTCAGAGGCTTTGTAGGCACCAAGTCAAGACTGTAAGGGCACCATTCTGCCCATGGGCATCTCATTGGCAATCCCTGGCATACAGTGACACTACACCTTCGGGGAAGAACTTGGCATGGGGATTTGCTGTTTTCAACAGTAGTCTTACATCCCTTGTAAAAATGTCATTCTCCCCCAAGAAAGACGGCTAAACCACCCACAGGTGACATCAAAAAGTGACTTAATTTTAAAAGTGACAAAAGTTGGAGGACCTAACAACAACAACAACAACAACAACAACAACAACAAAATCTAGGCACACACAAGGAGATTCCCTGACCATGTTCTGCTGGCAGAGTCGGTAAAACTGCTGGACTTTCTGTGACATCAGGAGCTGGGCACTGCCCACCGCACTACGGATCTTCTCAAGGACTAGGAAGGTACACAAAGAAAATGAGAGGGTCAGTACCACATTGCTCCAGAGCACTCCCAATTCTGGAGAATTTCCTAACAGAGTGTGACATTAACCGTGTCTTTGCATTTAACATGCAGTTGTTTTTTCAATACAAAAAATTAAAATGACATCAACTGATGACAATTATCTGGATGGCATCAGTCAGGCAGGGAGCCTCTATTCTCCTCTGCTGTGTTCTGGAGAAAGACCCCTGCTCTGAAGCTGGTATTTGCATTGGGAGGAAAGTTCCCAAATTTGGCGCTGATAGGGGATAACTTTATGCCCTGATTGTGGGCTCCCCCAAATTACCTGATTGGCTAATGTAGGATGCTAGACTACACAGATCTTTGGTGTCATCCAGTGTGGCTCTTCCTTTATCATTATGACACAAAATTGCAATCATATAAATCTTACAGTACATTCCAATGAGGGATGGACAAACCTGTCTATTTTGTTTCTCCCTCAGTTTCACATTTCTCCAGTTTCAAGCTTCAGTTTGCTACATTTTCACATCAATTTGTAACAATTTAAAAAAGTTCTCACAAACATTAATCAGCACTTTAGTATACATTTATTCTAATATACCTAATTCTCTGTGCAAATTTGCTTAATATACATGTTTCCCCATATTCGTTATTTTCATGAATGCATTTTTACGCATACTTTCCCCCAATGTGATTTGATTTTTTTTTTTACACACTGCCTCCCAAAATTTAGCGAAGTGTGAATTTTGAAAGATAGTTGTTTCATTCTGTCTATTGTTTCAGGGAAGCGCAAATTAGGGAGGTCTGCATTAAAATGTCAACCGGACCAAATTTATCCCCCATCCCGAATTCTAATAGACATTTCCACAACACTCCCCCATCAAATAAAGCAAGCTAGCATTTCTCCCTGACATGGTAGCTTGCTTTCTTTCTTTCTTTCTTTCTTTCTTTCTTTCTTTCTTTCTTTCTTTCTTTCTTTCTTTCCTTCCTTCCTTCCTTCCTTCCTTCCTTCCTTTCTTTCTTTCTTAACACAGAGGAAGAATTCACAGTCCAAAGAATGCTGCAGTCCAGCAACAGATTCTTCACATGGACCCACAATTGTATAGCTTGGCTCCTAACCCAACTATATCTGCCAGACTGTACCAGCTTGCTAAAGGAAGCTGGCAGCCCCAGATGGGATCCCCCAACCCACAGCACCCGGCGGAGACTCACTCTCTTCCGGCAGATCATAATCTTCAGCCTCCAGTTCCATCTGCTGGCACCAGCCTTCCATCTTCTCCACCTCCGCCTGCAACAGCTTAATGAACCACTCGCCGTCCCGGTGGCAGGGCGATGCTCGGCCAGAATCGGGCAGGCTGCGCGACCCCCTGTCCATCCAGGAATCCTGGCGCGGCACTTCCACGGTGTCGTACTGCATCTGGTAGTCTTCCCGGTAGGCCCACTGCCCTTGCGTGTGCACCGTCTTGTACACCGAGTATTGCCGCGTGGACTCCGGCTCCGAGGAATGCCGCTGGAAGGAGCGCCCGAACTGAAGGGCCTTGTCCTCCGTCGCCACCGTCAGCCCCGCCAAACCCTCCAGCTCCAGGTCAGCCTGCACGCCGGCCGTCACACTGTTGGACCGCTTGAACCGAGCGCGCCTGCGATAGGGAGGAGAGAGGGTTAGGTCCCTTGCAAGGGCTGCAAAAACCAACCAGCTTGGATTTGCAAGCACTAGGTCCTGGGTTCAATCCCCAGTGGTATCTCAAGGTAGGACTGGGAAAGGCTGCCTGCCTGAAACCCTGGAGAGTTTCAGTATCAATGGACAGCTGCTGGCCAGTGTCAACAATACTCAGCTAGATGGACCAATTGTATGACTCCAGGATAAAGTGGTATCCTATGTTCTTACAGGTATGAACCTGGAAGTTGTGCTATACAAACAGGCAGCCCTGTTTAAGGAAGCTTTTAATGTTTTATGGATTACTGTATTTTAATATTTGTTGGAAGTCGTTCAGAGTGGCTGGGGAAGCCCAGCCAAATGGGCGGGGTATAAATAATAAATTATTATTATTATTATTCTTACTATACTAAGTCAACCTGCTGATCCATATTGCTCAGTATCTATGAAGAAGGTCTGGAGGCTGCAGCTGCTGCCAGGTGGTTATACGGGGCAGTGAGAAGGGACCATATTATGTTTATCTTTCTGACTTTGCACTGGCTGCCTATTAGCTACCAGGCCAAGATGAGTGCTGGTGTGTAAGGCCCTATATGGCTTTGGACCCAAGTACATAAAGGAGTGCCTCCCCTGTGCTTTAAGATCTTCAGGGAAGCGGCATGGGGTGGGGCCTATTTGATGGTGGCTCCCCATTTATGGAACTACTGCACTGCTGAGATTGGACATTGCTACTGTTTCAGCTTCATTTGAAAATGCACTTATTTCACCAGGCATTTAGTGGCTGGCTGTGGACATTAACAGAACGATTTGCTTGTTTGGCTGCTCTGTGTTGTGCGTGTGGAATTCATTTGTTGTAATCTTAAATGTTCCTTTATGGTGGTACTCATATATTTGCATGCTTTTATTCTTAGGTAATGATTGAAGGAAGGGCAGGATCCTGCTTGCGGGTCCTGTTTGCAGGTTTCCCACAGGCATCTGGTTGGCCACTGTGAGAACAGGATGGGCCATTGTTCTGATCCAGCAGGCTCTTTTTATATTTTTATGTTCTTAATCAGCGGGGCTTAATTTGTGCCAGGGCTCAGCCCTGGAATACATTTCAAAGAGAAGCAGAAGAGCCTCACTGTCTATGTGTAAGTTTGCATGTTCCTTCTGCACCACGGAATACCCAAAGGATTCAGAGGCAGGGCTTTCCCATGTGTGAGATGGGGGCTTGAGAGATACTTGAACCCTGGCTCCTCTCCTTACAGAAAGGAAGCGCCGGGGATGAGGGAGAGAACTCAGAAACTGACAAGCCGCCACTGAGCAGTATCATGCCTGCGTGGTTCCATCGCTCCCGCCTTCCTGTTCACTGGCCTGTTTCTATGACAACCAGCGCTGGATGGATGCTGAAGGACTAGAGGGAGGGAGGGAGGGAGCACACAGAGCAGAGGACGTGCCAGCCAGTCCCTGACTGAATGAAGATATGGGACAGCTACATGGTGATCACCTCACATGCTCTTTGATTCAAGTGTCCGTGCAGTGAACTGAAGGGAAATAAATGGGGGTGGAAAGATGCTGGACTTCTCAGAGAGTCTAGAGTGCATGTCTGAGGATTGCATGCACACACCTCAAAAGGCTTCCCTTTACTAAGTCAGACCATTGGTCCATCTAGTTCAGCACTGTCTACACTGACTGGCAGGAGCTCTGCATGGTTTCAGGCAAGGTTGCCTCCCAGCCCTACCTGGAGATGCTGAAGATGGAACATAGGACCTTCTTCATGCAAAGCAGATGCTCTACCACTGAGCTACTTCCCCTCAGGGGGATATTCCCAGAGCCCTACCTGGAGTCACCAGGGATTGAACTTGGCTGATGCTCCATTACAGGCTTCCTCAACCTCGGCCCTCCAGATGTTTTTGGCCTACAACCCCCATGATCCCTAGCTAGCAGAACCAGTGGTCAGGGATGATGGGAATTGTAGTCGCAAAACATCTGGAGGGACGAGGTTGAGGAAGCCTGCTCTATTACTACTACGGCCCTTTTCCAGACAATTAAGCTGGAGTCAGGTTGTTGGCCCATCTGGTCCAATATTTCAAATGCAAAGTGGCAGTGGCTCTCCAGGGTTTCAGGCAGGAGAATTTCCCAGCCCTGAACCAAGGATCTTCTGCATGCAAAGCATGTGATCTATAACTGAGCTATGGTCCTTCTTCCCCTGATGGCTTCTAGTTCAGTGTTGTCTATATCAGGCGTGGAGAACCTGTACCCCCCTGATGTTGTTGGACTCCAAATCCCATCAGTCCCAGCTAGCGCAGCCAATGGTGGAGGATGATGGAGGCGTCCCCAATAATTTGTAGTGAGCCCCTCACCCCACAAGCCCCATTATTGGGTAGGTCTATAGCTCAGTGGTAGAGCAAGGTAGAGCTTTGCATGCAGAAGGTCCCAGGTTCAATCCTTAGCATCTCCAGGTAGGGCTGGAAAAGACTCTTTGTCTGAAGCTCTGGAGAACCACTGCTAGTCAGTGTGGACGATATTGACCTAAATGGACTCAATGTGAGTCAGCATCTTATGTTTCTATTATAAGAAGTTAGTTACAAAGGCTTCCAAGTCCATGGATGGCCCTCTTCGGGGGTTTTGAGCCCAGGAAACTTTTCTGTTGAGAAACTGTGCTTCTCTGTGATCAACCAGACACTTCCATGGGCTCAGCTAAATTGTCTGAGAAAGATCTTAGCAAGAAAACCCCCAAAGAGTTTCTACCTGCTGCTGTCGAGAGTATTGAGCTAAATCAGGGGTGGGGACAAGGGACACGAGTGGCGCTGTGGGTTAAACCACAGAGTCTAGGGCTAGCCAATCAGAAGGTCGGCGGTTCGAATCCCCATGATGGGGTGAGCTCCCGTTGCTCAGTCCCTGCTCCTGCCAACCTAGCAGTTCGAAAGCACATCAAAGTGCAAGTAGATAAATAGGTACCGCTCTGGCGGGAAGGTAAAAGGTGTTTCTGGGCACTGTTCTGGTTCGCCAGAAGTGGCTTAGTCATGCTGGCCACATGACCTGTACGCTGGCTCCCTCGACCAATAAAGCGAGATGAGCGCCGCAACCCCAGACTCGGTCACGACTGGACCTAATGGTCAGGGGCCCCTTTACCTTTACCTTTTTAGGGGTGGGGACATCTGTGGCCTTCCAGATGTTTTGGGCTCCAACTCTCCTCACTGTCACATAGCAGAGCCAGGAATTAGGCATGATAAGAGCTGTAGCCCATAAACAACTGGAGGACCACAGCTCACCTGGGCTAGATGAGCTGCTGGCCTGATCCTGTATCTACATACAGCTACCGTGTGCTTAGAATTTAAATCCAAACAGCCCACATTCTGAGCCTGGGAAAGCTGAGTTCTGTGACCCAAATATTTTAAGCACATCTGCATAATTGTTTCATTTTCTGCACATTTTACTCATCTGCTGCAAGTCAGTGTGTGTGCGTGCATACGTGTGTGTGTGTGTATGTAAATACGTGGGTTGCTGAAGTTCCACCTCCTGTCCCCTGGAAATATCATTCGGCTACCCTGACTGGGTTTCAATATTCTAGCCATCACTGCTACAAGAGCTGTAAGATTGCTTCCCCCTCCTTCCAAGTGAAGGCTGAGATTCTTAGAATGCAGACGCAGTATACCTTTAAGGTGCATTTGAGGCACATTTCCCCCTCAAAGAATTCTGGGCACTGTTACTTACCCCTCACAGAGCTGCAATTCCCAGAAACTCTTAAGAAACTGCAGTACCCTGAATTCCTTGAGGGGCAAAATTTGCTATGAATGTGCTTTAAAGGCATAGTGCTTATGTAGACTTTGGCCTCATTTACACCATCGAGTTTAAGCACTATGATTCCCCTTTAAACCGCCATGGCTTCCCCCCAAAGAATTATGGGAGCTGTAGGTTGTTCAAGGTGCTGAGACGAAGCCCTTGTTGCACTCCTAGCACTATAGTCCTCAGAGTGGTTTCATAGTCCATCCCTCTTCTCAGGGGACTTTGGGAATTGTAGCTCTGTGAGGAGAACAGTCATCTCATAACAACTCTCAGCACCCTTAAGAAACTACACTTCCCAGGGAAGCCATCACGGTTTGAAGTGGTATCATGGTGCTTTAAAGGTATAGTTCGTACACAGCCTTAGTAAGCTTAAATCCAGCACCTATTTCTATGCTCTGTGGCTTTTTCTACCCTCCAGAACGGCAGCATACGTTGAGCCCTGAGTATAAAGCCTTTCATCCTGCTTAATATTCCCCTTCGGTTCTAGCTGGGAACATGAGTGTTTTACAAAAGCGGATGGCTTGGTGACAGGGGATGTCCCGGGTCACCTATTCCATCACCGCCAGCCTTGTGTGGGCATTTGCTTCTGCCTGGCACCTCTGTGTCTTGATACCCTTTTGTTTCATGAGCTGGGAGGGCAATCCAGCTGCCCTGAGCAGCCAGCATCCATAGCTCCACGAGGTTCTCTTGCTCGATTCTCTGGTCCAGGCTTGTGCCATGAATATTGATTTGGGGGCAAGAGCGCATGGGGACAGCTGTGCGCAGATTGCAAAAGCTGCTCCTCCTGGTGGGAATGCAAAGGACCAAGAGGGATGTTTTGCCAGCTGTACCTTTTATCTTCTTCTACTTGCACCCCAATGGAGTGGAACTCTCTGCGGCTCCTGCTTTCTGTGTCTGAATCGGATATGGTTTCCACCTTTGGGAAAGAGAAAGAAATGAGGATGAGGGAGAAGCAAAGAGGAGGAAAGATAAACAGAGAGGAAAAGGGAAATCCAGAAGTGGTATCACTTATGGTGAATTGATAAGTGGCAGAAGCAAGAGATAACAGGGAAGGGGGGATTGATAAGTAGAGGAAAGAAAAATAATGAAGGAGATGGAGACAAGTGCGAGAAAGATTCAAAATGATCAAAATGAATTGAGAACAAAGTAAGGAGAGGGAGAAAGGGAAAGATGAATAGTTAAGTGTATTGAAGTACAGAAGGGAAGCATCAGAGAACGATTCAAAGCTGTGTGGGAGGGAGAGGGAGCTGTGAGGAAAGAGCACTTGCAAAACAGGCGGGGGGCATTTTGAATTCCCATCACCAGATGCAAACGGAAATCCAGATAAACCATGTGAGTGGAGAGCAGAGATCAAGTACTCAGGAGCCCTGTCCTCCCCTTTCATCCCTCCTTCCCCTGGGGATGCCGAACCTCATTCAAAGGCACAGGCCTGATGAGCGCCAAGACGCTCCTGCAAGCCGGGTGGAAGAGAGGAGAAAGGTCACCCCCACACTCCAGGAGGGAGCAGCTGGTAGGGAATTATTTTGCTCCTTTGGCCCAAGTGGAAAACTCCACAGCAACAGTGGGTAAAGTGCTGGGCTGTACCCAATATTAACCCTACTCAGAGTAGATCCATTGAATCTAAGGCACATGACTAGAAAAGCTGGCAATCCTGGCTTTACGAAAGGAAAAGGCTTTATCTGCTAGATTTCCGCATGCCAAGTAGTTAAAGTCACAGGAGCAGAGCTGGTAACAGTGGTGCCTTGTGGAAGGCAGGGAGGCCAATGGTAGGTGGGGGCAGAGCCAACTTAGTCTAGTTTCATCCTTTACTGAGTTCCACAAGCGCAACACCAAGATGGAGGAGGAGAAAGCTGACAGCCAGGGCCTCCATAACCCCTTGACTGGCTGAGGTCAGCCTGAGGTCAGCGGGGTAGTGCGCCATTTGCCCTAATGGATCTGCCTCCAACTGGCTGGTAAAGATAATGGTGGAAATTCTTGATGGCCTCTATTTGCCTTCCATGCAGTCAAATGAACCCCTACTGGAGCAGAAATTATAAATGTGGCATTTTAATTTCTAAAGTTTGCATTTCTAAAGTATTGGTTTCCTCCACGGGACGTGATGCCTTGTAAGAGTACCTTTGGAAAATGGTAGCTGCAGCTTAATTGAATCATTTTGCATCAGCTTCTCTTGCTTCGTTAAGAGCCAAAGCCCCCACTCCCAACATTTTGACCTTGTCAAACAAGCAACTGCGCACCATGAAGTCGGATCAGACACTTCCTTTCCGCCAGCTTGCCCCCTCGGCTGAACCTCTCGGATACACTTGTCTGAACTTAATTTAACCTCCCTCCACAACACCTGTGCTGATTCTTACTGACAAGGGACAGGCCTGCTAACGAAGTAGGAACAAATGGCAAGCAAAGGAAATGCAAATTTAGGAGACTAATAAAAATTAAAACTAGCAAAAGGGGAGAACATGAACCAGGTGCCTGCCTTGGAGCTCTTTTTCATTAGAAGTTTGAAGTCATCGCCAAAAATTGGAATCTTTGCTTACTGAAACCATGAAACGTCACAAACCATTGGGATTTTCCACATCTGGTCAGAAATGGCTTGAATTTCACCCTACGGGCCTTTTCTGTAACCAGTGTAAGCTAAGATAAAAGTCCTCATTTCACACTCCCTTGTTCGTAAGATAAACAATGCCACCTTTTGAAAAGGACAGTCTACCCAACTCTCTCTATGCTCAGGAGGATTGAACCAGTGAACATGAATGCCAGAACTGTCTACATTGCTCCTTTGAGCTCTGGCTTCCCCTATGGAGGAGTATCATTAGATCCTCAATTTGTAACAGATCAGGGTGCATGGGCATTTTGTGGAAATGGAAACAAAAGGGGTTTATTAATTTCATTCCAAATTGGAACCAGTCAAGAAACGAATGCCAGAGGAATGGATGAGTTCTGATAACCATATATTCATTTGATTCTATGTATCCCTCGTTTGCTTTGCTTGCCCCCTTCATAGCTGGAATAGGTCAGATGGAGATTTTCAGGGGGCATGAAGAAAAGAGCAGTTTTTAGTTAAATCTATTTTTAGGCAAAGCCCTGGATGCCAATTGCTGGAATAAATCCAATAGTGTCTTTAAAGCTCTAGAGACTAGTGGACAAACCCAGCGACATCTCTGAGCCTTGGGAAAAAACAGCCACGCAGCCTCAGAGTTTCTCTAAGATCAGAGTAAGCTTCCTAATCTAGTCTAAGACAGAAGGAAAGGCTGTTCCAGATTCTACCTCCTTTCCGGCTACCTGAGGTTCCCTTGACTTCTTTAGCTTATCAAAGGGACAAGGAATCTCTGGTCCAGGCAGCCTTCCAGGCTTCTCTGTCTTGCCTCTGGGACTCTGCCTCTGGGACTGGCCCTGCTTGGCATCCTCCTTGAGTCTTGTCTGGCTAGAACCCTGGTGATGCTTCTTGCTTGCCTGGATGGAGGATAAAGAAGGATGTGAAGTGTGTGTAGAAACTAACCTACTGTACAAAGGTAATATTTACATGCATTTCTCCACTCACTTTTGCTTCTGGCCCCACCCAGCACTGCCATGTGGCCCTCTAAAGGTTGACCTTGGGGTAAAAAAGGTTCCCTCTCCCTGCTTATACTCAAATTTCTGAGACTTCACCCAATTTTTCCTCCCAAGTACCTCCAGCATATAAAGCATTACTACTACTACTGCTACTACTACTACAGTTGAAAACAACTTACAATCTCAAAAATAAGGTGAACGAATCATGGATGATCAAGGTTTCATTCTGGTTAGACCTGGCATTTAGTAACACCACCACCAAGCAGGGGGCTGACTGGCTAGCACCCACAGACTTTGAAATGCAACCAGTGAAACAGAGGGGGCAAGGGCTTTGATGTCATATACCTTTGGTTACCTCTGTATCTCCCCTGCCAACCACCACAGGGATGGCAGTCTCATTCCTAACCCCTTCCCAACTCCAGCCCAGATGCATAATGAGCCTGACCTGCGCTCAAAAATACAAACACACAGCAGAGGTCTGAACCCTTTGAGGCAAACAATAGGGCTGTCCAATGTAGCACTAAGTAACTTGCTCCATTAGTGCAATGATTTATGTGTGCCCAGCAGAACTCTCCTCTCTCCACATGCCACCCCTTAATCTGTTTGTGAGTTGGTTCCCCCAACCCTCCAGCACAGATTTAGGGAGGGCTTGGGGCACTTAAAGGGGGAGGACAGGGGGGAAAGTTCCATTGTGCAACTGTAAATACTTAATGGAACGAGTACATTGGACAGCACCCAAAGTGCCTACAAATTCACAACTGATTCACTGCAAAGGGAAATAACAGATGGGAAGAGCGAAAACCGAAGACCCCGTGCACAAATGGAAAACAAAACAAACGTGGCTCGAATGATCAACACAACCGATAAATTTTAAAAATGAATGGAGTAGCAAAGCAAATCGAAGCAAAGCGAGGAACATTGTCCTGTGATCTTACATTCTCTTGCTTTGCTCGCAAGGTATTTCTTTATTGGTTATGTATTTTTAAAATGTCTAATCCAGGCTGCATCCAAACACATCCCAGGGTAGTATGCAACGGGATCAACCATCACAGCATACGATAAAAGCCAAACATAAACTGCCATGAAACCAAAGAACACACACAACATAAAGCAGCATAGAACAATAAAACTAACCACCCAATGGCTGGGCAAAGGAGCTGAGAATGCGGTTCTGTCACCAATGTTGAATGAAATAAGGTCTGTCTACCAGTCCAGCTGGCTTCTGTATGTGGAATGTATGTGGGTGTGAGGGGCACTATCTTGTCCTTCTCTTAGGGATGGATGGATCTGCCAGTTTTGATTCCTCTCAGATCCTCATTTTTCCAGTCTTAAGTTCCGTTATCCACATTACTGCACCAATCTGCAATTTGTTCTTCAAAGTCTTCATCAAAATTCATCAACATTTTAGGGCAGATTTCTCACCATGTACACAGCTTTGTATGCACTTCCTCCATGACAGACACATTTTGCAAGCAATTTCTCCATGTATAATGCATTTTATATGTTATTTTCTCTCCTGGTTGCCACCCATCTGTCTCGAGAGACAATGGAGTGTGCTTCCTCAGTGGGGTGCAAGCCTGGACAATGTGTATGGCGGTCCTAGGCTACCCAGACAACAGGAACCCACTATGCATTTTATTATTTGTACGCATTATTTGGTTGGAAAACCTGCACCACAAAATCTGAAAAAGTGTGTATTTTGAAGGATAGCCATGTTTTGGTTCATGTATTGTTTCGGAAAGTTAAAATTAAGTAGGTTTGTATTAAAATCTGAACAGAACCAAATTCTTCATCCATCCCTACTTTGCTCATAGAGTCCACTGGCAGAAAAAGGTAAAATATAAGAAACCAATAAACCAATGTTTCGATACAACCTACTCTTCATAGAATGAACAGCCACTGAATTGTACTAAAAAAACCAAAAGTCAAGGTATAAATGAGCTGTCTTTTAAATCACAAGGTATATCTATCACTGTAATTTAGGTGTGTTCAGTACCTCCTGATGGTGACACAGGTGTTTCCACTTTAGTAAACTTCTTCGGTGGATTAGAGCGATACCATCTCTTGAACTGGGCAAGGGGTGTGAAATATTTGCTGATGTATGTATGGACAGTATTAACATCAACAGAGTATCTGGTTCATACAGTATGCAGCTCCAGAAATATATTTGAGCTTTAGGATATAATCTATGTTCATGTAAAAATTATACTTTTGTATATTATGTGATATAATCTTTTATGAGAGAACTGTTTATATTAAAGGCTCATGGTGGACCTTTTGATGGTGGAATACTTTAAAAAAGAAAACAGTGATATATATATACCTCATAGGTTGGTTATAAAAGACACTTAATTTGAAACTTTGACTTTTGGGTTTTTGTGCATGTCTTTAGTAGTCAGGGAGAGGTTTCCTTCTGGGTTTGTTTTCACTCACTAAATTGTGCCCCCCCAAGCCCAAACCTCCCGGCAATCCTGGGCCCACCCTGAACCTACCTGAACTCCGATAGATGGGCGCCATTTCCTCTGACGAGCCAAACTTCTCAGCTCCTCCCTCCCCGGAATCGTCCTGATGATGAGGGTGGGGGGGTTGGGGGCAGTCCTGGGTTGGATTGAAGGCAAGTCCAGGGACATGGCAGTGATCTTGGTGCTTTCTAGGCTCTCTGTGGAGTTGCAGCGCTTGGCGGCCTCTTTGGACCATGATGGACTCCTTTTGACTTCCCTGGGCAGGAAGCTGTCATGGGCGGACTCAGAGCTGCTTTGCGTCGTCACCGAAATGAGGGGCTTGGCTTTCATTCCTGAAGGGAGGGGAGGGGGAGCTTTCCTGTAACTAAAGGCTACACGGAGGGGTGGAGAGACAGAGATAGGGAAGGAAAGCAAAATGTGTCAATAAGAAGGGAGCTCTCTACTCATACAGGCACCTATTGGACAGGGCTCATGATGTTATATGTGGTGAGGCAGTGGGGACGAGGAAGGGCCGTAGCTCAGTGCCAAACTGATTTGCATGCAGAAGATCCCAGGTTCAATCCCTGGCATCTCCAGGGAGGGCTAGGAAAGGATCATCTCCAAAAACCTGGAGAGCTCTGGCCAATCAGCACAGACAGTACTGAACTAGATGGACAAATGGTATGACTCAATATAAGGCAGCCTCCATGTCCTTCAAGCGCCCTCATCCCTCCACTGGTTGCCTTGTTTTGGAAATGTTTCACACACACATTTTGTTGTCATGTAACAGCATTGGCCTAGGAGTGAGAAGACTCGCAGAGGTATTTGCTAGCTATGGGGTTTCCCCACCTTCCTTTCCTATACCAATTTGTGAGCCATTTTGAATTAATATAGCAAGGAAGGAAATTGGGACAGGCATTTTTAAACAGATAAAATATACAAACATTGCACAGTATCTCTGAGAGTGGGTCACATCGGAACAGAACAAGTTTGGGGCAGGAGCTCAGATTCAACCTTAGCCATCTCCAGGTTGGGCTGGGAAAAGTCTTGTCTGAAAGCTTTGAGAGAGCCTCTGCCTGTCAGTGTAGAACAGGGGGAGCCACTGAAGTGCCCTCCAGATGCTATCAGACTCTAACTTGCTTCAACCTCAGCTCGCACAGGAGTTGGAATTCAGCCACATCTGGAGGGGAGGGCACCACATTGAATAACCCGTGTGAAGATGATGAACCAACTTCCTGTTGTTGGCGAGGGGGTGCAGGTCAGGAGTTGAGCACCTGCTTTGTATGCAGAAGGTCCCAGGTTAAATCCCAGCATCTCCAGGTAGAGCTGGGAAAGAATCTGCCTCTGAAACCCTTGAGAGATGCTAACAGCCAGGGCAGACTGCACTGAGCTGGGTGGGCCAGGAGTCTGACCTGGTTCAAATCAGCTTCCGAAGTCCTGTGTTGGTACTTACAGGTGCTTGGCTTGAGGATGCTGCTGGTGAGGGGCTGGCCAGGCTGGTGGGTGGTGGTTGCCATGGTAAAGAGAGAGAGGCAGTCATCGTCCTGGGAGCAGCCAGCTTGGATGGCTCTCAGGTAGCTATGGCTGCGCATGCGGAAGCAACCGGGCAGGTCTAAGGCCTCGACAGCCTGCGACTCCACCTCTCCGAAGACAGACTCACACACGGCCTCAAACTGGTGGTTCAACTCATCGTTAATCTGAGGAAAGGGGAAGAAGATGGAGGGGCATGGAAGGCCGTGAATGGAGCTAAGACCTATGGTGCCAGGATTAGGGATGTGGAAATCTGTTCAATTTCCCCACGAAATCCCATCCTCCTCTGCACCCACACTTCTGGAAGGGGAAAAGAAAATCCTCACTTGGGGATTCAGGTGGACACTTGATATTTCAAACTGACTGATTATGGTGGCATTGAAATATTGACAGTCCACTTGAACCCCTCTAAGGAAGGTGCCCCGCATTTGAAGACACATGGCCCAATTTACACAGATGTCAGTTTTCCCCTCCACTCTCCAATTCTTGTACCCCAGGGTAGGGAACCTGTGGCTCTCCAGGTGATGCTGTATTCCAGCTCGCACCATGTCTCATCTTTGTACATGCTGGCTGGGGCTGATTAGATTTGGATTTGAGCATCATCTGGAGTGTCAACAACATCTGGAGAGCATCAGGTTGAAGAAGGCTGCTTTAGAGTTGTTGTTATTGGACAGAGCAATTTATTGGATGAGTCACCCACATTTGGACAAGCACCCTTAAGGTGGCTTTCAAATCCAGATGTTTGAAAAATCCAGTATGGTGAAGTGCAGCCTTGCTCAGTCTGGTGCCTTCCAGATTTTCACATCCAGTTCCCACCATCCCTGAACACTAGCCAGGGCCAGCTGGAGTTGATGGGAGCCAGAGTCCTGTGGCAGGAAGGTTATAGATTCCTCACCCATCTCTACCCAGTCCCCTTCCTGTAAGGCAAAAGCTAAAGAACAAATCACCTCACCTGCCCGGTGGTAAAGGAACGTCCATACCCTTGTCCCCGTGGCCGGATTCGGGGTGACGTGCAGCAGCTGGGACAGTTACAGATATATGAGTCAGAATAGTGCCTACTTGCAAACCTAATGAGAGACATGGGGAAGAAAGGTTTCTGAACAAAACCCAAAACATGACATGATCAGAGCAGATGGAAAATGACTCAGGTCTGGCTGGGTTTGACTTTGCAAGCTCCCTGCCCTGATCCTATCAGATAGGGGTGGGGAACTTCAGGCGCCAAAGGCAGCCCTTCAAGTCCCTCTATTGCGCCCTTGGGATTCTCCACAGGCCACACCCCCTCTCTATAGGCCACACCCTCACCAGTTCTGCTTCATATTTATTTATTTTTTTGCCAGGTTGGAATGTCTGTTGCTTGCCTGATGGAGGTCAGAGAGGTATGTCTGGAAGCCAGATAAGTGCACAAAGGTAAACTGTACATTTTTTGTCTGCTCACCCATCCCTGGTATGTGATCCTTGAAAATTTCCTACAAGAGAATGTGGTCCTTGGGCTGGAAAAAGGTTTCTCAGCTGGTGTGGAGCATAGTTTTAAAGAAACACAAAAATGGATGGGTAGAAGCTTTATATGACAGCCCCCATCCTTTGTCATGGATCCTGAGCAGGTGTGAGGACTGTATCAAAGGAGGAAGAGGCAGCTGGATCAGAAAGAGGTGCTGAGCTTGGCACTAAGCCTAGCCAAGAGCCCCTTGTGACTGAGTACACTCTGAACCAGGTTCTTCCAAGAAGCTGGACCCATTTACAGCAGGGGCTGGATGCTTCCCACTGACTTGAATAAGGTGGAAGCTGATTATAAGGTGATGAAAAGCTAAGTTTCCAGAACTACCCACTGAAGATACTCCACCCTTTAGGAAAGGAGTCAAGCCTAGAAGGGTGTAGTTTGGTCCAAAAGGGATAGAAGGCCAGTTTCTCATTTGTGCAACTGCAGTGCTTGGTGTTCTCCAACGTCCTGAAACTCCAGTCTGGTCCTACATGCCTCTTGCCTAAGAACCCCTTCTATGCATGGGCTCCTGCTCATGGTCAAGACATCTCACCTTACTTATCAGTTGCCACCCAATAAAAATTCCATATATTTTTGTTCCCTTTGCTGAGCATCTCCCCACCACCCTGTGTGGTTATATGAGAAATGCGCTGTTCTCAGTTTCTTACTTGGTTCTGGCCTGATCTACACTGGAGGAACGGCGGTACCCCTCACGCCGGGTCACCCCCTTGGGAGACACCTTGGTGCTGGTATCCGAGTCCCCACTGTCATCGTCTCCCATGGCCTTGATATAGCTGCCACTCCGCATCCGTCGACAGGGTATCTCTCCATCCTTCCCTGAAGCTGGATATCCTCCCCAATCATCTTGGGGTACCTGAAGGAAAAAGAAATTTCATGCAGAGTGTATCTGTGTGCATATATGCTTGATAGTTTGAGGTTAATAGGAAGTTCCACAGAAGATGCCGGTGACAATTTATGACAGCCCCAAGGATGCACCTATAGCATTTGAGGGAATGACTGCATCTTGAATATGTTCTTCTACCAACCTGCTCAAACATCCCTGTGAGAACGATAGCACTGTTTGACTTAGGAGTCCACCGACAGTCCACTCTGCACAACAAACTTGTATTGGTTTTAAAAACCCTTAACTGTAATAATAATCACCATTATTTATTTATTTATACCCTCTTTATCCCTGACAGGGGCTCTTTGTAGCTTGGTGAGAATTTTCTGCCAGTGATCAATAAGCCTGCCCAAACTACAGTTCCCAGGGAAAGATGGGGGGGGGGAGTAGGTTAGATGCCCTGAAGCTCTTTGACATCTCCACTGGAGACTGCTAAGGGATGCAAAGGTTATGGCTCTCATAAGCTGTCTGTAAAGAAACTGCCTGCCTGCTACAAATACACTGAGATCTAATGTTAGGTCCCTGGGTGGTTTGTAGTTTGCTACAGGTTCTGATTTTCAATAATTTAACAATAGTAAGTAAAATATGGAAGAGCGAAAGCACAGTGACAGTGGACATGCATTGCATGCAGAAGGTCCCTGGTTCAATTCCTGGCACCTCCAGGTAGGGCTGGGAGAGACACCCTCTCCGAAACCCTGGAGAGCCACTGTTGGTAAATGTAGACGGTGCTGAGCTAGATGGGCCAATGGTCTGACTCGGTGTAAAGTAACTTCCTCTGTTTCTGAAATTGCAAGCAAAAAAGAAATAGATCTCTGCCATGATTGGACTTGTGCTAATTACTTCTCTCGCAGTGTCTGTATTCCTTGCTTGTAAGGGCTGTTCAATTGCTTTCGACCAGGTCATTGCTCAATTCTGCTAACCTGTTTTAGATTTATATGTTAGAATTGCTGATCTGTAGCAACTCAGATGTAGCCTCAGGTTTGCAGATGCAGATCATCTCAGTGCATGGCTCCTGGGATGCAGTATGTAATTGGCTCCACCCCAAAGTACTGTTTTGGGTCTGGCTCCACCCCAAGGTCACTATTCTGCACCTGGCTCCAGGTTGCTGGACCCCAGGGTCCTAGTAAACCTTGTGTTCTGAACTTATTACACCTCAATACTAATGGGAAACCCACTGCCCTCCATGTGTTGCTGTCCTATGACTCCCATCATCCCTTCATGCTAAAAGGAAGCCATATCAATAAATCATAAACTGGTTTATCCGCATAGAATGGATGTGTTTTTTATGCATCATAAGATAGAAACTAGGATGCAAATGTGCCCAGCTAGCTTCTTCTTCTGTGGGCTTTTTTCTTTGGTGTGTGTATGTCATAGGACTGTATCTAATGTTCTCTGTTTGCTGGTGCCAAGGGCTTTTGTGTTGGCACATGGGTGAGTTTTAATGTTGTACAACAGACAAATTCATTGCAACAGTTGCACAAGGGGAAATCTGTTACACGACAGATTGTGAAATCTATTGTGCAACAAAGTTACCAGCAACCTGCTTATGCATTTCCTTGTGCAACAGTGTTCTGCTGCAGCGGAAACATTTTGCTAGTGGAAGAAGTACGCTGCCAAGAGACTTAGACTTAGTGCTGCAGTAGTTGGATACAACCCTTATTCCCTTGCTTCTTAAAACATCTTCTCCAGACTCTGCTGCCTTCTATCTTCATGTGAAATGTCAAAATGAATATTGCTCTTTTTACTTAAAAATATTCACAAGGGGAAAATACTCACATCTAAAAGGAAGTTGGATTTTTAAAACAACAACAACCGAGTCCACTCAAAGTTCTATCCCTGAGCTTTAAGCAAAACCTTTTACATAAAGAAATGTTGGTATTTATATATTGTACGAGTTCAGAAAAAAGTGATCTTCTGCAGCCAAAAAGCAGCCAAATCTAAATCTGCTAATTAACTGTTAACCCAATGTTTAATTTATGGGGCTGATCCTGGCTAACATAGTTGCAGGAGGCTGCAACTGAAAGATACTTATCTGAAAGTGAACTGTACTCTCAGACGTCATTTCAAGAAGACATACATTTTTCATCAGAGCCCATTCACACATTCAGCTACCAGCCATCAGGTGGTGATGTCAAATCAAGGGATCTACAGGTGTGTGCAAATTTGATCTGACTTGATGTTCAAAGTGTTCCTCTGAGTTCCTATATCCCAAAATACATTAAGCTAAGTGTTCTTAGAAGATATCAGTATTTTTATTAAGATTTACAAATTAAATAAGAGATGTGTACAACTGCTAAGTTCTCTTTTGGGGTGATAAAATGTTGGTACTGCAATGCATTAAACTAGCCTTCGCCAGCCTGGTGCCTGCCAGGGGTTATGGACTACAGCTTTCAGGAGCCCATACTGAGAAGGATGAATAAGATACATTGGTTGTCCTATGTGCCATATTTTGCTTCATACACTTAAAGCAATTGTCTCCTACAGCCAAATCATATGTGAGCTTTTTCAAGAGGGGAAACTTTTCTAAAGCTCCCCCCAAATGCACCAAAGAGGTGCCGATACTCAGTTCTGGTGAGTTCCAGCTGAAAAAAAAGCCCTGGCAACACATAGAGAGAGAGAATAAATCATGTGCACAGCACTGGGGGAGGGTTATTGGGTTGTTGTTGCTTTCATTTTGATTATGTACTTGGTGGTTTTATACTTTGATTTTATCCTGTGAACCACCCTGAGACTTGCGGGTATAGGGCAGTATAAAAATTCTAATTCTAATTCTAATCACCCAAACTTCAATTAGCCAGCAAAGGTGAAAATACAGGTAAAATACAGATGAGCTCTCTCTACCTCCACAGCTAATCTAAGCTTTTTTTTGGGGGGGGGGCGGGCGCTCACATGGAAGAGTTAAACTGGGAAACAGTGTGGAGAAATGCATTAGTCCCCCTACCTCAGTGGCTCGGATCCAACTTGCACCCCACCCCCCAGGTAGCTGTTTTTAAGTTTTCTAAAAAGCCAGTGATGGAACTCCTGATACCCTTGCACAGTTTGGCGATTAGGTTAGCTACTGAAGTTATCACCACATTTCCATATGCAATTCCAAATTCCCAAAACATGGACTCATCAAGATCTTGCAGCTAACAGAGCTCTTTGGCTAGAGGCAACCAAAGATGGCTTCTTAGCCCCCAGAAAGCTGGAAACTGCCTCCTTGTAGACACAACCTCACCTATACATCATAGTTCTCTAGAGCATCCTTTGACAACTTGGTGCCCTTCAGCTGATGGAAGTTATAGTTCAAAAATATTTGGAGGTTGCCAGGTTGGCAACAGAGCTTGAACCTTGCCTACCCTTCAGTTCAAGACTCTCCAGATGTGATGGACTTTCCCCAGACCAAGTCATTACTTTTCCCACCCCATGGAAGCACGTCTGCTCTAGAAAGAGGCAGGGCTTTCTCCCTGAAATCTCTCCAGAAATCCTCACCTCATAGCTCCTCCGGCAGATGAAATCCCACCCATAACCAGAGCAGCAAAGCAGACAGGCAAACATCTGTCTGCACTGATGACACCCTTACCAGTTTCCGGTGACGAGTTGGCATCCCTTAGGCTATCAGGAGGAGGGCAAAACAGGTGGACGGGAACAAGAGGCCGGAACAGACACAGTTGCCTCTTTGTCTCTTTCTCCCATGAAACATCAAGGGATGTTTCTTTTCATCCTTGGGCCCACCCCCCTGCTGCAGTGGGCTGAGATGGGGACAGCCAAAGTGAGGATGGGATGGGCGGAGTGTTCCCTATACAGCAGCCCCTCCCTCCAGCCCCTCACTCTGGATGGGCAATCAAGTCAAGTGTCATTCAATCTCTCCTTCCCCCTGGGGAAAAAACACACACAGAGAGGGAGAGCGAGAAGAGTTAATTAGCTTTTAATTAAAAAAGAACAAGCCCTTCATGGAGCTGGCTGGCTGGCTAAGCCTCTAAGCTGAGGTAAGGGGGGAGTTTGGATCATGTCTGGGAGCAGAAGGATGTAAACAGAAGGAGCAGGATAAGTTTTGATATCTCCAGGCTGAGGGAGATGGGGGATCCTTAGGCAGGACTTTGACTAGTGCCACGGGCTGTGGAGGGTGGTCTCCAATCTTTGTTGTCCCAAGCTTGGCATGCCCCCCCCAGTTAACTGGAGCCTTAAATCTCAGGCTTGAGGGCTAGGATTGGCTGTTTCTACTGAACTAGTTTTCTAGTGTGAGCAGAGCCCTGTGACTGGAGAATGCTGGGAAATGGAACACTCAGGCCTGACCAGAGTTTCACATGAAGCAAAACTTTACTGTGGATTTAGCCATCTTCAGATGTTTTGGACGGCAACTCCCATCACCCCCGCCAGCAGGATGGGAATTGTAGTCCAAAACAACCAGAGGGCATCTGCTTGGGAAAGGTTAGAAGTAGCTTAGTCAGTAGAGCAGGAGACTCTTAATCTCAGAGTCATGAATTTGAGCCCCACATTGGGTGAAAGATTATTGCATTGCATGGCATTGGACTAGACGATCCTCGTGGTCCCTTCCTTCGTTCCGGAGGTCTGTTCTTAAGCTGAAACTGTTCATAACCTGAAGCACCACTTTAGCTAATGGGGCCTCCTGCTGCTGCCGCGCCGCCGGAGCAAGATTTCTGTTCTTATCCTGAAGGAAAGTTCTTAACCTGAAGCACTATTTCTGGGTTAGCAGAGTCTGTAGCCTGAAGCGTATGTAACCTGAAGCATATGTAACCCGAGGTACCACTGTATATGCATACAAACAAGGCCTGAGTAACTTGTGCCTCACTGAAACAAAAGCAACCTACTAACCAAACCTTTGAATTTCCTTCTCCATGAATGGGGCTGTTTACTTTATCCAGTTGGGAGAGATAATGTTGTGTGGGAAACTGGTAAGAACACTTCTAAGAACTTTGTCTGGCGGGGAATGAAGACATTATTTTCCTGACAAGCTTTCCCAGCTGGATGAACAGGCCTCTGCCAGCAGTGTCCATTTCATATTGTTTTAAAAATGCATATTCTGTTGCTTTCTGTGTTGTTCCTAATTGGGTTTTTTAAAGTTGTTTTTATTGCTCAGAGCAGACCTATTGAAATTAATGAACATGACTAAGTTAGACTATCAAGGCAATGTACTAAATATAATGGGTTATATCCAACTACGTTTCACTCATTTTTGTACATTGCCTTGATATAGCTATCTATCTGGAAGGCAATTAATAAATATCTATAACAATAATAACTTTTTTAAAATGAAGAACTAGTATGCGAATTTGCTTTCCTCCCTCCTCCCAACCACTGTGTCATGTTTTCAGAACTCTATTGGTTTTTAGGAGGTTTTCGCAGCTGCGGAATGGGGTAGAAATACTGTAGGATCAACAAATAAAAATGATGTTTGGTTCAAGCAGAGTAATGCTTGTTGTTGTCAGGATGTGATCTTGCAAATAGTATTGAGAAGTGTTGGGCTGTGGTCTTAGCTAATGATAACACAGGACCCTAGAGACTCAGTAACTCACCAGTCATCTTGCTGCATTCTCCTCTGTCATACTGAGAGAGCACAGGTTATTTGGTGAATAAGTGGGAGGGGATTTGGAGAAATTCACACTTCTGAAAACAATACATGAACGGAAACACAAATATCCTACTAAATTCACACTTGTCTGAATTTTGCAATGCAGTTCTCTGGCAGAACAAAATGTGCACAGAAATGCATACTGTATATCAATGGAAATAGCATACAACTACATTATATTAGGGGAATAGATGGCAAAATTATGTATATTACACCAAATTGTATACAAAATGTGTTTATTAGGACTGTGGTTCCCAAATGCCCCCCTGCCCTCCACGGACCACTTGCAAATTGTGAAAGGTCTTGGCAGACTGCTTAATGATTTTTCTGTTGGCTGCAGCATTTGTGACGTGCTGTGATTGTCAATTGCATTTTAATTGCTTCTTTCATTGGACTACTACTCCCACCCACCCCAGCCAACACAGCTGTGCTTGCTGGGGCTGATGGGAGATGTAGTCCAACACCATCTAGAGGAAGGCAGGTTGGCAAAGATTGACCGGGAAGGAGCAAGACAGTCCACATGGAGCACACAGCTTTGTCTTTCCAGTAAAGGACCATAGCTGGGGTACTGACCCCACTGTCAACAGCATTTGCCACCTGAGGGGTTGATTTCACTCTACCTAAAGGGAAGGGTTGGCCTTGTATCTCAGGCATGAAAAACTGCCTGACTCTGATCGCTTAAGCCAACTGGAGAACTTCTGCTTGTGGCATTGCACTCTACAGAATACCATAGGGTGGTGGCCACAAAATGGGACATTCTCTGCTCTTGACCCTGTTATGTGGAATGCCCTTCTCTCTACCACAGGTGAAGCAGTAGCTACCAGCTGCTTCACACAATGTCTTGAAAATATGTATCTTTTTGCTCAGACATTCCCTGACCCATAAGACTGGACCCTGAATTATTTGTATGAACCCTCTGAATCACTTCTTTACTTGCTCTTACATGGCTCCATTGGTTTTAGGTAGTATTTAGTTTCACAAATATTGTTTTTATATTGTACACAGTGTACACTGCTTAGAGATTTTTAAAATATTAAGTGGTTTAGGAATGCTATTAAATAAATAAATGCATATTTATACAGCTACAGCAGCCACATGCTAGAAGATCATAGAAGCAGCTCCAAAATAGCTGTTTGTGTGTTAGGTAAAAAGGTAAAGTACCTCTGCATGGTTAAGTCCAGTTATAGGCGACTATGGGGTTGTGGCACTCATCTTGCTTTCAGGCTGAGGGAGCTGGCATTTGTGCACAGAGAGCTTTCCAGGTCATGTGGCCAGCATGACTAAACCACTTCTGGTGCAACGGAACACAGTGACGGAAACCAGAGCGTACGGAAACACCGTTTACCTTCCTGGCGCAGTGGTACCTATTTATCTGCGTGCACTGGCATGCTTTTGAACTGCTAGGTTGATAGGAACTGGGACAGAGCAACAGGAGCACACCCCGTTGCAGGGATTTGAACCGCCGACCTTCTGATTGGCAAGCCCAAGAGGCTCAGTGGGTTAGACCACAGCGCCATCCACATCCCTGTGTGTGTGTATTACGTGGTGGGTCTGTGTACCCAAGGAGGACTAGTTTCAGGTTTTGGCGTCCTCCTGAAGCAGCATGTCACAGAAAGGACCTGAAGCAGCATGTCACAGATATGCAAATTGAGAGCCCACCCAGGAGTCTCCTGTCAGATGATTGAAGCAAACAAATATAGGGGGAAGGCATGGCTATAGGGGTGAAGGTGAAAACAGGGGTTGAAAACTTAGTAGCTGCATGGGGTGCAAACGCTCCTTGTTAATTCACCCCCCAGCTTGGTTTTAATGCATCTATGTGGGCTTTTTGTTCATTCGTTCAGTTGTAAGTCGCTTTGGATTACACTGGGCAAGATAAAGTGACCAACAAATTTAATAAATAGTAATATTAATATTTTCTATTTTTATCCTGTAAGTTGCTTTGAGACACTTTGGTTAAAAAAGTGACAAATACATGTTGTCATCGTCATCATGATGTAACTTGAGTATCCCAGCTCCATGAGGGGATATATGTATATTTTTCTATCACAGTTCATCAAACAGCAGCTGGGGTGAAGAGTCCTGGTTCCTTCCAGCAGCAGTTGTTTATTTATTTTAAAGAAATACCTTTAAATGTTTTATAATAGGAAGCAAATCGGGAGAAAGAAGGGAGGGTGGTGATGCAGCAGCTGCAGCAGCTGCTAGGCTCCTTCAAGCCATCCAGCCATCCAGGTGTGTGCTAGGGGAGGGGGATGCCCTGATGATGCGGGCTGAAGGCCGGCAGGCCAGGGACCTCTGCAAAAGTCTGTGAGGTGCATGTTAAAGAGGAAGGCAGGAGGAGGAGGAGGGGGGGGATGCAGGAGGAAGCCAGGGACTGAGGCAGGCAGATTGCAAAAGGCAAGCAAACCACAACCCTAGCTGCACAAGGCAGCCTGGTTGGATCCAGGAAAAAGGCAGAGGATAGGGACTGGGCAAGTCTGTCAGTTTCAGGTTCTCTCAGCTTCTCATTTATCTTGTCTTAAGTTCTTTACATTTCTCCACCAAGGTGTGTGTGCTTTAAAGTGATCATAAAAATTCATTAGCATATCAGTGCAAATTTCTCCTAAAATGCACATTTTTAATGCATTTTTTTGCATTAATATACATTGATATACCTTTTGCCTAATAGAATTTTGCTAAACAATTTCCACTAATATTTGTATATGTTCTTTTCACTAATACATGCATTTTAATCGATGCTTGTATGTTTATGCACATTACTTGGCTGGAGAACTGCACTGCAAATTTCAGAGGTGTGAGAATTTTGAAGGATGGCTGACTTTTGATTCACATCTTGTTTTGGAAAGTGTGAATTAGGTAAGTTCACCTTTCAATGCCCCTGAATCAAAGCCCCCTCCCCCAGGGCAGAGATATGTGTTACAGAGTAAACATGAAGCTCCCAATTCTGAGTTTGCTACTTAATGCCAAGGCCAAGTATGGGGCAGAAGTTAACCCTTTCCCCACCCACAGTTAACCTTTTCCCCACCCACTGAAGTTCTCCTGAAAATGCCTAATTCTAACCTGATCTCCCCTTCTACCAGCCAGTATCTGAGATTGGGAGTAATTCTGGCCAGTGAAGGCTGGTCCATTAGGCTGAGTGGGGTTTGGCTCCACCAACCTCAGCTTGCTCTCAGCCAGCCCTCACCTGCCCATCTTCTTACTTACAACCCTGCTAGCAAACAAATAAGCAAGCAAGCAAGCAAATAAAAACTTTTAATTACTTGCACAGTCCTAACTGTAAGAGGTTCTGGTTGTTAACAGTTGGATCTAAGCAAGCGTGGGTTTTTGTGGGGGTCATTTCATTTTCTACATTTTATCTGTACAGTGAACTGGGCCTACTGCTTAAACAATATTTCATTTGTATTAAATCATGGATAGCTGCCTTGAGCTTTGGGAAGAGTCAGGGCAGAGATCGAAATATATGCGAGGCTTCAGAAGCAAGGAATTGGAGTGAGATTCTGGAATCTGGCTGCGTTTTGAGCTGGGGTCAGAATCTTGCTTAATTTTCCACCAGGATCAAGCACATCCACCAGTAGTGTGCAGCTATGCCAAGTTGCGTCTCTGTTTCTGTCAGCCTCCTAGCCAAATGAGCGCCAACACTCACTCTGCGCATCCAGCTAGGAATATGAACAAGAGATCCGAGGAACAAAAGGCAGAAAACTGGGAACTCAGTCCAGGAAATTAGGCAAAATCATTCTCAAGCCCTTGACTAAGGGGAATACTGCTGGGTTAACCACACAATGCACCAGACCTGTCCTTACCTTTTTAGCATTTCAGGAACCTTGGTTCCTAGGGAGGAGGACAACAGTTTTACAAGGTCCCTAGGTACAAGGGCACCCACCAGATTCACCTTTATCATTGCCTCCGGCAAAACCTTTAGACAGGGTCGGCCCTACTAGTAGGCAGAGTGAGGAGATGACCTCAGGCGGCAGAACCAGAGAGTGTGTGTCAGTGGTGGCAGCAGTGTCCCTTTGTGTTAGACATGTTCTGTCCTGTGCCCCCTAAGGCAGCTTACTGCCCTTTGATAGAGAACAAAGAGTCCAGCACCCTAAAGCTCAAGGTGTGGCCAATCGTTCCAAGTCAATGTGCAATTCAGCCATCGACTTCTGTGGAATTCTGTGGATTCCAAAGCAAGCTGACATGACCCGCACCTCCTGGAGGAATGCACAGATCAGAATGAAACTATCCTTCGGATGTTGCACCTCTCAGAATTTTGTGATACAGTATTCAGTTCAAGAAACATAGAATCCTAGAACTGCAGAGTTGGAAGGGACCCTGAGAGTCAATGCAGGAATCTCAACACATGGTCTCCCATTCAAGTTGAAACCATAGTGGACCCTGCTTAGCTTTGCAAATGTGCTAGCAGTTTTATTGTTGCACCACTATTCAAATGTGTGGAAAAATATATTTTAAGATAAAAAATGTTTGAAATGTGAATAGTTAGATAAAATATATTTATATGTGATAAAATAGGCATTTAAATAGACATTTCCATGGAGATTCACTTTTATAACTAGCTGATTAAGGTAGAAACAGGATGGGTTGGACCTGTTTGTTAGGAGGTACGTAGTTTTTAAACTGTTTTGAGATGTTTTAGTTGTCTTGTTTTAGCACTGGCATGTTTCCCATCCCGGTTTCCTTTGGAGGAAGGGTGGGATATAATATTAATAATAACAGCAGCAATAACATCAACAATAATTTAGCTTGCCTTTCTTCTAATACAGTGGTACCTCGGATTAAGTACTTAATTCGTTCTGGAGGTCTGTTCTTATCCTGAAACTGTTCTTAACCTGAAGCACCACTTTAGCTAATGGGGCCTCCTGCTGCCGCCACGCCACTGGAGCGCGATTTCTGTTCTTATCCTGAAGCAAAGTTCTTAACCTGAAGCACTATTTCTGGGTTAGCGGAGTCTGTAACCTGAAGCGTATGTAACCTGAAGCGTATGTAACCCAAGGTACCACTGTATATTAGTGGGCCTGCACTTCAACCTAGGCCAGCCCTCCAGATGTTTGGTTGGGTATACCTGGTTCCCCTTACCCTACATGCTTGGCCCTTAGGAGACTTAGAAAAGAGCCAAAGGGGAGAGGTTTCATGCATCTGCTTCCATAAGCAACTAATTCTGGAGAGATCCTTCAGGCCCCCATGCATTTTCTCTGGCTGCCTTGTCCCAGGTTGCCCTCCTCATTAGCGTGTGGAGCCCATTGATCAGGCCTGCGCAGAAACCGCCCTCCGAGAAATGAGCAAGGTGGTTCATCTTAATTGTTTGTTTGGGCATTATTAGCAAGAGCAACGCAATGCTCGGATGTCTTCGGACACCTTGGTAAGCTGACGCAGCCAGCAGCTCCTCAGAAACCTCGGGCCTTTTAAAACAGAGAGCCGCCTTTGTGCTGCTTCTTCTTTTTGCAGGCAGAGGCTATTATAGCCCTGACATTTCTCTAATCACCGACATCAAGGTGGAGCTGCAGTGCATCATGGGAATGCAAAGGAGAGCAAAGGGAATAGAGAGCAAGACGGCAAATGGGAGGGGGGGAGCTTTCGGAATCAGCAGCAGGGGAGTCTTAAGCTTGGGGAAGAAACCGTCAGGGGAGAGCCTTTGAAAGTGATCCAGGCTGGCCATTCATTGGATACATGGGCATTTGCCCTTGGAAACAGAGTGGCAGGGAATTCGAAAAGCCCAAGGCCTGGTCAGTAGGAAGGGGCTCATTCCCTGCATGCTTCCTGTCTTTTTAATCCATGATCAAACCTACGATGGACTGACTTGCAATCATGGAAGGGGGCTCCTCATATGATGCTTGGATCAAGGAATCAAGCTCCTTTTAACTAGGGCACATCTTGCAGCGCATGGGATGCGCTGTCCCAGCTTTACATGCCTGAACAGCCCATCCCATCAGCCCCAGCCAGCACAGCCAAGGATGCTGGGGACTGTAATCCAAAAACATCCCCTTTCCTGATCAAGGTATAGACATCTATATATCTGTATCTAAGGCACTCCTTGGAAAGGAACTGAAGACACAAAGCTTGCTCCTCCTCTACAGCAGCGCAGCCTCTACCCACCTCCTTACCTGAAGATAATGATAGGATCGGTCCTTGGCCTTGGCCTCCTGGAGCATCAAGGCTTTCTCTGGGCCTCCTCCCGAGCTGGGGTAGGCCTCCCGCGCTTGGCTGACGGTCATGGTATGCCAGGAGCTCCGCTTGAGCGTCTGGCCATCGAGGGACATGGACATTCCCGCGCAAGCCAAGCACTTGCCCTCCCCACCTCCGCTCTTCAGACTCTTCAAGGTCAAGTCTCTGAAGGCACTTTCAGGGGTGTCCACGCAGTACTGGGTGGCCTGGTCGATGGCGTGCTGCCTCCCGGACACCATGTAGCTGCTGTCGCTGTCCAGGTTGTCGTCGGAGCTCCACCAGCCCATCATCTTGTTCCGGTGGCGGGAGGAGGAGGAGGAGGAGTCCAGCTTGCGGTCCTTGCTCTTGCTGCGCTTGCCGTGGCGCGACTGGCGGTGGTGGTGGTGAGGGTGGTGGTGGTGGTACCCTCCCTCGCCCCCCCGGCCTTCCATCTTGGTGCCGTTGTACTCGCGCTTGGAGGGGGCCTCCAGGGAGTGAGACTTGGCAAAGAGCTTCTGGACCGAGTGGACGAGGTGGCGGATGCGGCTGGGGCTCTCGCTCCGCGGCTGCTCCGTGCTGCTGGCCCGCTGGTACTGCAGGGTGTGGAAGCCGTCGTGGTGCAGGGGCAGCTGCTTCTCAAACTGGTCGAGGAGGGTGGGGGGCAGCCGGTTGATCTTGCTGGAAGGGTGGGCGGCCGCCATGCACTCGTCGCAGGAGTCGTACTGCTGCGGCGTGTGGTGCATCCTAGGGAAGGTGCTGCTGCTGCTGGCGGCTGAGAGGGGCTCCGTTAGGCTGAGCGGGGCCTCGGCAGAGCCCCGCGATGGGCAGTAGTGGTCCAGGGAACAAGGCTCGCTGGGGCTGAGGAGGTATGGCTGGCGAGACTCCTGGCTATGGTGGATGTATTCCATCGGCTGGTCGCAGGCCTCTGGGACGCAGTGGCAGGGGTGTTCTCGTGACTGGCTGCGCTCCCCATGGTAACTCTTCATGGTGTCATAACCATGCGCCGCGTGGCCTACTCATCTTGCCATTGGTGGGGTGGCAGCAGACGAACCTACCAAGAGAAATACCAGCAAAAACAGGTAAGGGGAGAGCAGAAGCAGAGTGATAGAACACATTTCATGCATGCAGAAAATGCCAGGTTCAATCCCTGGTGCTGGGGGAAAAAAATCTCTTTCAGAAACCTGGAAAGGTTTTGCCTGCTGGTGGAAACCAGGGCTAGCCGACGTGCTCTTCATATGCTCTTCTATTCCACCTCCCGTAGTCCCTGGCCACTGGACATGCTAATAGAATAATAGAATTGTAGAGAGACCATGAGGGTCATTTAGTCCAACCCCCTGCAATACAGGAATCTTTTGTCCAATGTGGAGTTCAAACCCATGACCCTGAGATTATGAGTCTCATGCTGTACTGAGACAAGGAGGTGGTCTCCCATCCAAGTACTAACCAGGCCTGACCCTGCTTAGCTTCAGAGATCAGATGAGTTCAGGAATGTTCAGGGTAGTATAGCCATATACTATATGACTATAGCATGGCTGCTGTTGGAGTGCAACAACATCTGGAAGCCACCATGTTGGCATTTAAAGGCTAACATAACTGATTCACATTTTCTGAAACAACACACAAGATTTCCATTTCCCCAGATTTTGGAATACAGTTCTCTAGCCAAGTAATGTACAAAACTGTATATATTTCGATGATGTGCGCCTGGAAATGCATGTGTTAGTGAAAACAACACATGCATTACTAGGAGAAACTGCTTTGCAAATCTGTGTATATTAGGCAAAATTACAGAGAAAAATATGTAGATTAAGATAAATTTGCACTAAAACGTGAGAAACAGAGAGGAACCAAAATTTACTTGCCTATCCCTAGTGTGGGGGCACATATTCAGGCTTTCTTTTTTTAAGAACAGGCATCCAAAAAGCAAAAGCAGGTGAGCCTGAGCAAAGGTTTCCAAATCTGTCTCCTCCTTGGATGATCAGCATCTGAAACAAGATGGAGAGAAGGCAGAGGCCATGGAGCGATTGGAGACCTTGATCCATACCAATCCAACCTGCAGGAACTTCAATCAATCTCAGCACCACTGGAGAGACCTCCCCACCCCCTTAGCTCTTAGTCAAAACTTTGACTCAAAAGTGACTGCAGCTTGCAACTGGAATCAGATTTCAAAGAATCAGGGAAGGAAAAGGGGCAAAAAAACCCTGAGCTGATCACACACTTCTCAATTTCAAGCAGGAGAATTGAGTGGTGAAGCTTTTCCTGCAGGTTGGGAAGAAGTACGTTTGAATCTTCACCCACCATAACAAAACGAAGCAACCCACCACCAACCTGGGGTGGGCAAATCTGTCACTTTTCAGGTTCTCTCAGTTTCCCAACCTTCAGTTCTCCACATTTCCATCTCAGTTTTAATTTTAAAAAGTTCTCATGAAAATTCACAAGCATTTTGGGATGAATTTCTCCTTATATACGTATGTACAATTTTGCCAAATATATACATTTTTGCAAAGCAATTACCCCAAATATACAATATATAAATCAATACACGATTGTGTATATTGTTTTTTACTTACATATGCATGTCAATGCAAACTTTACACCACTATGTGCATTTTTTTGGTACACATTACTTGGCTGGAGAACTGCATTGCAAATACAGCGAACTGCAAATTTTGAAGATGGCTGTTTCAGTCCTCATATTGTTTTGGAAAATGCAGATGGTGTGGGTTCAACTTTAAATGCAAACTGCATCAGATTTCTCCCCCATCCTCTGTACATATAGATAAATACAATTTGGATTGTGCTAGGCTCCATCTGGCAAACTGTTTGCATGGGGAGAATCCGGTGGATGATGGGTGGAGCCAGCTGGTCTAGGGCAAAGGCTGAGTGGGATGTGGGAGAATGAGGATGGAGCATTGATGTGCTGGGGGTGGAATCTAGCAGGCTGTGGGTAGAACCTGGTGTATTTAGGGTAGAATCTGATATAGTGCTGTCAGGTGTAGTATGGCTGGAATATAGCTGGTTTGTTTATTCATCATTTAAAAGAAATTCTAAGCTGCTTAATATTTTAAAAACCTCTAAGCAGTGCTGTCAGGGGTTCAGGGAGAGAGGCACAGGGTAGGCAGGAGATGGAGAGCGATGGGGATGAATTCCAAGCCAGCGAGGAAGAGGATGACAATGACTCAAGAGATTCCATGAGTCTTTCCAGCGAATCAGAGGATTCCCAAAAGGGGGCGCCGGTGGTCAAGGCCAGGGGAGCCCAGGCGCGACGTGTCAGGAGCAGGGGGCCAGCGGAGGATCCCAAAGTGGCAGCTGGGCGTCAGGACCAGCCTCCCCACCAGAGTGCAGCGAAGGGGGTGGAGTTTCCAGTGTGTCTGGGGACGCAGCTCCGGCAGCAGAGAAAGGAGGGAGGTCAGAGCAAGCCGCCCTCCCGGAAGGGGAGCAGTGGAAGGAGTAGTGTAACTGTCAAAGGAGAGTGAGAGGTTTGGCGCGCGCGCCGCGTTCAAAGGTGGAGGCGCGCGGAAGTACAGGGCGCCCGGCGGAGGGGCCAGGTCGCAAAGCCCGCAGGAGGGGAAGAGCAGTCTGATTCCGCGTCAGAGGAATCCAGGAGGGCGAAACCCCAGCGGGCAGAAGGACCCTGCGGAAAAGGAAGGAGAGAAAGAGGTGGAGCAGCGCAAGCCTCTTAAATTGGTGCAGGGGAGGGACCAGTTCAGAGGAGACTTCAGCGGTCTAAGCGTAACAGACGTAAGGCTGCGCGCCTAGGATGTCAAGCAAACAATGAACTGCAATAAACACCTTTGTATATAAGAAGACATAGGCGTTGGTCTTTTGTGAGCTGAGACTTGAGGCAGCCTTGACAAGTGCACAACATTGAAACAATAAACAATATCATGAAAACAAAAATACAGCCTGAAATCAGCAAAGCAGTAAATCAAGATGTGCTACATCCAGAGCATTCCCCTGATCCACCAAGCCCGTAACTCTATCAGAAAAGGAAATAAGATTAGTCTGGCATGACTTGTTTTTGAGACACCCATGCTGCAAGGTAGGTCTGGGAGAGACCCTTGTCTGAAATTCTACAGAACCACTGTTTTTTTTTTGTTTTTTTTTTTTCTCTGATAAATTTTTATTGGTATTATACATATATACATATAAACTTATACAAAGTCCAATACTTAAATTACACATAATATATTCATTCCATAAATCATAAATACGTTTATTTTAGGTTATTTTTATTTCAAACCATCCCGGTACTTAAAGGTTTAAAGCAATGTAAAGAATGGCAAAGAGCCTTGGCGAGATACATCTGGCAGGGAAAAAGACCGCGAATAAAAATGAAAATACTGGTAGATAAAAAGAAAGAGGGTTTCTCCCTTCCGGACTTATGTTTATACTATGAGGCGGCGTGTTTATCGTGGTTGAAAGACTGGATAACACTAGAAAACAGAGACATCTTGGATCTTGAAGGCTTCGATAACAGGTACAGGTGGCACTCGTACCTGTGGTATGAAAAGGTGAAAGTACATAGAGGCTTTTTAAACCATATTTTCAGAGGGCCAATATTCCAAGTATGGGAAAGAAATAAAAACCTATTGGAAGGAAGTCACCCTGGTGGATCTCACCAACAGAGGTGTTAACGGTCAAAAAGTTAATATGGAAGGGAAGAATCCTACCTATGAAGAACTGACTAGGAAAACGGATCAAGGTATAAAACTTAGACCCTATGAAGAGATTAAAAACTCATTTACTGGGTGGTTGCAATACCACCAGGTAAATGACCTGTTAAAAAGAAGATAAAAAAGAAAATAGGATTGAAGATAAAAATCCAAATTCAATGTGGAAGTTGTTGAAGGAAAGAACAAAATACTGTCTAGAATATACAATATTTTACTGGAGTGGTATACAAAAGACGAGGAGGTGAAGGACGTTATGACTAAGTGGGCAATAGATATCGGCTATAACATCGATTTTGAGAGATGGCTAGAATTATGGAATACTAACATGAAGTTCACGGCATGTATGGCATTAAGGGAAATATGTGGAAAATGATATTTAGGTGGTACCTCACACCAGTGAAACTGGCTAAGATCTATAGGTTAAAGAACAAAAGATGTTGGAAATGTGGAGAAGTAGATGGTGACTTCTACCATATGTGGTGGTTATGCAGCAAAGTGAAAGGCTTTTGGGAATCGATTTATAACGAGCTTAAAAATTTTTTTAAATACACGTTTCCCAAAAAACCCGAAGCCTTTCTGCTAGGAATGACAGGTAAAGAAATCAAAAAAGAAGATAAGGTACTATTTTTATATGCCACAACAGCCGCAAGAATCATGTTAGCACAAAATTGGAAAACGGACGCCATACCTAATGTAAGTGATTGGCAGATTAAATTAACAAATTATGCCAGAGCTCGCTAGAATAACAGGAAGAATAAGAGATCAAGATGAACAGAAATTTCATGATAACTGGATTAAATATTGGATATATATTGGGACTAAACTTTAAATGACACTGGCGGGATTGGAATAACTCTAACAGTAAAAGGTTATTATGTAAAAGAGATAAAATACGTGAATATAAAGTCTATTTGATACTTACCAAAGGAGTGGAAGGAAGTTCAAGGCTCTACAGAACCACTGTTAGTGTAGAAACCACTGAACTAGATGGACCAATGGTTTCATTCAGCCTAGGATTCAATTGCCAGCTTATATCCTACCTTTCTTCCAAGGAGTCCTTGCTCTCACTTCCTTTCCCTCATATTTTATCCTCACAACAACCCTGTGAAGTAGGCCAGGCTGAGGGTCTGTGAATGGCCCAAGGTCACCCAGTGAGCTTCATGCCTAACAGGGGATTTGAACCCTGGTCTCCCACATCCTAGTCTGACACTTTAACCACTACACCGTACTGGCTCTTGAGTGTCGGCAACCCTAAAGAGGAAGCTGGTAAGTCTGGATGCAAAAGCTGGTCGCTCTAGTCTTGAAAAGGAGATATCTGTGTACCTTCCCTGTAATGAGTATGGGTTGCTCGTGCGTAAGTTGCCGCCTCTCCTGGCTATGTTGCCTTGTTTAAACCTTTCTGTCTGGACAGCCCTTCACTTCGTGGCTGCCTCAGTCGCTAGCAGAATCCGTCAGTGGGCGTTTCTTAAACCTTTTCCAACATAAAAGTTGTTTGACGCCAAGTCTCCTCCTACTCTCCCTGCGCGGAAGCCTTCTGCGCAGGGAGGGCGTGGGTAGCGGAGGACCCGTGCTCTCCCCGCTGGTGTCCGGTGAAGAGTCCTGGAGCCCTCTCGCCGATTTCCCCATCTGCCCCCCTTTATCTCTGGTGTTGCACTGATTTGCTTCCCCATCTGCTGAGCTGCCTCTCTCCCTGCTGGGCCCTTCTCCAGCATCATTTGAGAGCCTCCCCTCTGCCTCTAGCTCCGATGTCAGTTCCCTGACATTCCCATTCCAGGACAAAACATTATGGCAGGAGTTGAGAAGCCCCTGTGGATAGTTTTTCATGTTATCACTCTCCC